ATTCTTACAAAAGTTTATTGGAGATATAAAAAATCATGTACAAAAGTTATCTGCAACATGCCAATCAATCAACGTGAACAGAATATATATTCAGACATTCATTTTTAAAAGGTAATTAGGAGCTATCTCTAATAAATCTAAAAAAAGAAGAAGAAAAAGAAGAAATGGGAAAAAGCCTTATCTGAAAACTGCTTAGTCAATATCACCAGGTTTTGTGAATGGCCTTATGGATTACAGAATAGTACACATGATAGTTACAAAATGGACCTTACAGCTAATAATCAGTTTATCCAGAAAGATTAATACCTCTGGATAGTCAGTCTTACACAGCACTCATAACAATAAAAAAGTAAAATCTAAGTATATTATTCCTGTTGGCATGTCTTAAAATTCTATTATAAAGCAAAACTCAAAGTCTTAGTTAGTATGTTAATTTTCAGTTTGTTATCAATCTGTGCCAGATGGGTTTTGCTTAACACTACCAATAAAACCAGTACCTGATTTACAGTAAATTATAACAATGAATCAAGTACAAAATCATAAAAGTAAAAGAAAAAGAAAGAAAAGAATATTCAGAAAGATCAAGTAATAAGGCTATTATAGTAAAGGAAGACAATACATATAAAATTCTGATATTACACACTTGTTACAACAGTAAAAGTTTCTGAGTACATCAAGACAATAGCTGACCATTGTGTCAACGCAAGATAGCAATGAAATTAGCAAGTGCGACTATCCACTCAACCAAAAGTTACCTTAATTCTTTTTTTCCCTTTCTGAACCACTTTCCTCTGCCGATTTACTTTGCTGCTTCCACTGGCTCCCCTTTCTTCTTCCTCGGAACTTTCGTCACTCTCTCCTCCACTAGACCTCTCTCTTGTTTTGGTTTCTTCTTTTGCACCTTCACTGCTCCTCCTCTTGGCTCTCAGTCGGATGTTCTGAGCATCACTGAATTCTGTGAGTAGCCTTGGAGCTGCACGAGCAATATTATCACCTCCAATCTGCAACTTCTTTTGACTGAGGAGAAAGAAAATGAGAAAGGATAACTCAAGCACATATCAATAAGAGGAAAAAGAAGTTAAGAAAGAAAGGGAAAAACAATATATATATATATATATATATATATATATATATATATATATATATATATATATATATATATATAATATATATAATAAATATACATATATGTAAACACATAATGACATTAACCCAATGGTGCCGGGGAAAATGAACAAAAAATGGAGAAAATGCTGTGCCCACTTTCTGTTTTTCATGAAATGTCTGCCGATAGATAGCTAGCGCCTGATTTGAAATGGCGGGAAAAACGTATTTTTCACTAGTGCTATGAAAATCGATGGTGTTTTTTTTATCATAAACATTATAATATTTATAATGTTTTTTTAACATTAATAACAGCAAAATAAGATAACGTAAAATATTTCGTAAATCAAAGAAACGGGTAAACGGGCGAGATGGGCGGTGCTCGTAGTTGGCTCATTGGTGATTTAGTACAAGTGTTGCCATCTATGCGTAAAAACAATCAAACAAGTACTCACGGTGGGCATAGCACATACACACACGTCATACCCGGCACCAAGGGGTTAAAATATATGAAAAAGGAGGGGGGGGGGGATAAAACACACTTATTGCAATATCTTGAACATAAAATACTAATGGTATTAGCAACCATGATTAAATATTTTAAAAATAAAACACCTGCAATATTCTCATGTGATCATTATGTAGTTATGACTGGTAGGCTCTGGGTGAGGCAGCACAGGAGGGATAGGCTCTTCCCCTTACTTGTGGATGGACTTTGCATATATATGTTGACTGGTCTCCAGACGAATATTACTTGGCTCCCAGGGCTATGTGAGTGTGTATCAGAGCTTGTGTTGTAAGTTAATAAAACACTAAGTGGTAAAGATAAGAAGTGGCAGGTGTTGAGGAAGGGCCACTTTAATCCCTAAACAAGATAATAGAGCAACAAGACAATCCATTCAGTAGTGAGGAAACCCATTCAAGGAGTCAGAATTTTACCTGCATGAGCTCTGAACATAATATCATGCCAGCCACCCCTCCCTACAATTATATAATATTACACAACCTGCCACTTAAGGGATAACTTTAGGGGCCAAAGAAATATCTGGTTAGTACTGAATTTAATTTTTAACTCATAAGCACACGCTGTTATAAACGGATGAATGAAGAAAAAGGAAGGATAATCATAACAGGGTCAAGAAATGGTGTTGAAAATGTATCTTGTTGCTGTATATGGCTTGAAATTACCTAGGTAATGGATATCCTGACAAAAAGCATGGTATACCCTTATGAAAAGATAAGAATGGATATGGCAAGTTGCATAAATTTATTCCTGCTATGTAAATCCTATTTGCCAATATCAAGTCATCAACAATGTAAGAATTACTAGTTATAGATTGTTGTCGCCATGACTACATTTTTTTGTAACACCTCAAGTTATGGGAAAGAGTGCCAGCAACCATCACTACTCACATCATTAACCCATTCGCCCCATGTGGCAAGAATACATGCCATGCCCACTGTAATACACGTTTATTTATTGTATTTACACATAGATGGCTCTACAAGTTCTTAATCACCAAATAGCCAGTTTATCGGAACTACCTATCTCACCAGTTTACCCTTTTCCTTCACTTTAGGAATGTTTTTTTTGTATCATTTCATTGTCTAAAATATTTTAATGAAAATTTAATAATCATAACATCAATAACAATAATAACAGTGTCGAGAGCAATGGTTAATTTTCCCGTCAATTCAATGAATGGGAAAATCAGGATCGATAACTAGGGCCTACTGATAGACTCCTTGCCAGCTGAGCACATGTGGAGCCATTTGTATGTAACAAAATTCACCAAAAACTACAGGGGACAGAACATAAATCTGGGGCGAACGGGTTAAAAATTTACAGACTATTTCCAAAGTTTATGTGTATAAGGAGGTGTATCCCAGTTAGAAACTAAATTAACCTGCTATGTATCATCATAACAGTTAGTGATAATAACAAAAATTAATTAAATGACCTATGCTGAAAACAGGGTAGACATGAATTTGCTACTGACAGTTACTCTTTAAATAAACATAAAATATTATGACACTTTCCCCATTCTATCAAACTTTCCTTTTGTATGTATTACATTCATCACACCTTTCTGGCTTTTCATGCTTAAGTAAAGGAGTAAGAATGTAATTTTATCAACCCTTTCCTACATGAGTCCCTGGCTGCACACCAAACCACATTACTGGATGCATGTGGAGTCAGTTGCTCAAGGTAAAAATTAGAAGCAGAGGAACCACAAAATTACCCAGCTCTCTATGCTCTTGGCTACTGCATAAATGATTCTCTAGGTACTGAGGCTTTCTTTAGAATTTCTCCCCAACAACCACAGCCACAGCCAAACAAGTGCACTACTATTTAGCTCATGTAACATGGAGCAAGCTCAACTACACATGATGTAACAATGCCATCACAACATGAGGGACAGTCTGCAAAAACTGGATAGGACATCATCCCATTATGAATGGATTAATAAGACTTACAAAGTCATAGCAAATGGAGTAAGTAGAGGCCAACTTACCATAAGGCAAAATGGATCTAAAGTGGATATTCCAAGTACTCTGCATAATCTGAATCAGATCACTGAAGATAAACTGACATATCTATCATAAAACATATATTCTACAATTTTCTGGATTACATACTTTTTTGGCATCTATTTCTTTTTCAGTCAGGATATGTAAAGGATCTTCAAATGTTTTCTGTATTATAATCTAGCAAGGGTAAGTCTTAATAAAAGGTACTTAGAATATGGTTACCAACAGATTACTTGTGCTGTCTATCTATAGTTATTTTGCTTTTAGCTTACCAATTATTGTGATGTCTGTTCATAATGGCTTTAGTATATGTTTATCAAGTACAGTGATGATATTAGTCATGCTAGCTGGGGTGGTCATGAATATTACTATGAAATTTGTAGGGTAAAAATAAAAAATATATATGCTATAGAAAGTGGCCACTTAGAGAAACAGGTATTTATGACTTGCAAATGATATCCATTTCTATGTATAGTACTTTTAAATAATGACTCAAAATGGCATGTCTCACACAAATTAAGAACAGCCATTTTGCGGGGGAAGTACTTCAATATGATTAGAATGAGTCTGATGTTATATTTGATGTAAACTACTATACTAGTTTCCAAATAAGCACTCCCTGACTCCCCTACCACATCTAACAGGGATGGAGGACTAGTGGGAAATCTGGATGGTAATTATTTATGAAGCCCCTCCTACTCGAGCCCCTCTTTGGAATCCACAAACATTATTTCGTGAACTCCAAGACCTCCAACCAATTGGTGCATTTACTCCCCATCCTGTGTGGATTATTTCATATATGAGTGAGTGTTGTTTCTCCCTTTAACCCATTGCCGACGGGCATGCCATGCCATGCCCACTGTGAGATTACTTGTTTGATTGTTTTTATGCATAGATGGCTACACTTGTACTAAATCACCAATGAGCCAGTTCCCAGTGCTGCCTGTCTTGCCCGTTTACCCTTTTCTTTGATTTATGAAATATTTTACGTTAACTTATTTTGCTGTTACTAATGTAAAAAAAATTATAATAATCATAATATTCATAATAGAAATAACACCATCGATATTCATGGCACTAGTTTAAAATGTGTTTTTCCCGCCATATCAAATCAGGCGCTAGCAGAGCCATCTATCAGCAGACATTTCACGAAAAAATATAGAAAATAGGCACAGCATTTTCCCCATTTTTTATTCATTTACCCCGGCGGCAATGGGTTAAAGATGACACTTATCATTAGACTTTCCACTATATTAGTGCTGTCATTATGTAAACATATACCATTGGGCTTCTGGGTGGAGACAGAAAGAAAGAATGAAAAAAGTAAATTGTGGCTTTGATACACTCATCATCTTCATATGTAT